TGGAGAAAGAATTTATATTAAAAGTGCGATAACAGCAGAGGATCATTATAGGTCTTTTTATTGAATATTTCTTTCTTTCTTGATCTAAAAAAACACACCTGAAGTGTAAGCTGTTCATCTCTGAAGCTCCAGAGACGATTCTGTGTGCTCTTGCAGTCGGAGGACTGTGTGTGTAGCTGTGTGTGTGACTGGGTCAGCTGTCTGCGGCAGCGCCAGTAATTCTGCAGTAGTTCAGTCAGTTCGTGGTTCTCCTGCCGTGCCAGAGCACAGAACTGGGCTGCACACACTTCAACACCCTCTAACCACACCCGCAAACCTCCACCTGGCTCCCAGACACTCAGTTGCTCCAGTGAGAACGGCTGCAGAAGCAAAGACATGAGGTGAGTGAGATTATCTCTCATGTTAATGCACGTGCATATGTAAGGACACAACGAATTCATCAATGACTGTTGCTCCTGGAAAGCTCCTGGGTCTGGGCAATATTGACAAAATACTGATACAATGTTGATAATGTGATAATGTGGATACAATGACCAAATTTGTAGCGACAATTATTGTCTAGACCTGTCTGATAGGCCATATTAAAAACAGAAAACATGATTTTTCCACCTGAGAAACATAGCTAAAGTACAGCCATGTATAAACCAAAAAGATGCTGAAAGATTGATTATGCCTTCATTTCAAGCTGACTTGATTACTGTGATGCACTTTTTACTGGGCTCCTGAAAAAAAAAAACACAGAGAGACTTCAGCTCATTCAGAACTTTGAAGCTAAGCTATTAACCAGAACCAGGAGGAGAGAGCACATTAGTCGATTATGCACTGGCTTCCTGTTACATTTAGAACTGATTTCAATGTCCTCCTCCTTATATACAAAGGCCTTAACGGGCAAGAACCATGCTACATTGCTGACTCCCTGATAACTATACACCTCCTAAAACACTGAGATCATCTACTGTACTGTATGCAATCACTTAATTTATTTTAAGGATTTATCATTTTATTATTATTCCAATTCATTTCACATTAATCTTTTTAATGTTTTACATTTTTCATCAATGTTTTTAACGTGTTAAAAAAAAAAAAAAAAAATCATAACCACTGTAATCAAACCCATTCAGTCTTTTACCACAAAACACAACTGTATTCATTATCCAACTTCATGTTTTATCTTGGTGTAGGAACGTACCTGAATTTCTGGAGCTGTTTTGGGTAATTCTGGGTAAAGTTTGCTCCTGGAAAGTTCAGCTACAGACTCCAGAGGCTGCAAACTTGGAGGAGAAGATTCCTGCTCAGGAAGTGCCAACACTGCAGGTCCTTTAGCACTATTTTTCACAGCTTGCTCATGGAGCTGTATCACAGGACCTTCCTCCAGTGTAGGGAGAGATGGGTAAAGTGCAGGGGCACTTGGGGCATTTGGGATCTCAAACTGAGCTGAAACACAAGGCTGACTCCATGATTGTATGTCTTTGTCCAACTCAGTGGTGTGTGTTGCAGCTTTAAGCTCAGCCCCGTGAGCTGCCACTCTGTCATCCTGCTCCTCCTCCTCCTTCTCCTTTTTTGACTCCGTCAGATGCTCTGTACCCTGTGACGTCTCTGTTGACTGAGTTGACTGTAAAGTCCTAGTTAACACAGATTTGGATAAAGTCTGTGATGAAGAGGTCCTCTGTTTCTCAGAGAGCAGATCTGACGGCTGTGCTGTGGTCTCAGGAGGCTGAACAGAGTCCTGCTGCTCCTCCTCTGGCTCCTGATATGGCAGGCTGAGGGGGATGTCAGTAAAGCCAGAGGTGGAGGCCTCATCACAAACTGCTGAAGGAGCTGTGGATCTTTTTTCCTCATCTGCCTGCTTCTGCTTCCTGGCCAGCTGAAACATAAGACAATCAAACAATGGATCAATCAATCAATCAATCAATCAATCAAACAAACAAATAAATAATATAAATAATGTATCCATTTCTTTAAATCAACATGTGATGTAGTTTTCTACATGTAACAAAGGGCGTGTGACTAAGATCACAATGAAAGTGGCAAAAATAGTACATCATGATGTTCAGCACAGTGTGTCACTGATTAGCTATTTTAAATCAAGGAGATTTCTTGATACGTTTTAGGACCCAGGTCTTCCAGTTTCCTCTCAATTTAAAAAAAATAAAGACGTAAAAGTATGTTGGATTGGATACTCTATATTGTCCATACTTGCGTTTGTTTAATTCTGATGAAAAGAGGATCGTTGTCCAGTATCAAACCAATGTTTTACAGGAATAGACCTCAAAGGAAAGAGCAGAAGAAGGTAAAGAAGGAGTGTAAAGGACTTGGTTTAAATCACCTGAGACTTTCCGCTGGTTTTTGCCTTGGTCTTCTTTGGTCTCACAGCCTCCATCTTTAGGGACTGCTCACCTCAGTTGTCTTCACAACTCAGATCATACTGACATACAACTGACTGAGGTGTCTCCCGGTGGAATCGAGCAACTGAAAACAAACAGTCCTCATATGTATGCTGTTCACATAAACAAACAACCACCATTAGCTGGAATAGCTAGCGAGGTCTTTCCTGTGATAAGCAGCTAGAGGCTGGCTGTGCTGACAAGATAAACACTGTCACTGGTTGTAAACAAAACACTCTTGTATTGCCCGTCGAAAGAAGTCGCCGACGGAGGATAGCGAGGCAACAACTAGCATGTATCTCAGCTCAAACATAGTATCCAGACAATTTATTTCCAGAAAACGAAACCAGTCGCTGCTCCACAACTAAAGACGCTCTGTTACGGCTAAACTAAGCTAACGACTAGCTGTTAACGTGTTACGCTGTCTTCCTCCTTATTAATTTATCCACTAGCGGTTCTACGTTTCCCGTTTTGTTGCTCACATATTCATAATAAGATTTCAACACATCGAGGCGAATGACAGGCAACAGTATCCCCGTCAGCCTGGTCAGCTGTCATTTGTTTTGTTTCTTCCAGGAACTCCGTTATCACAATCTATGATCACGTGACTGCTCCACCTCTCTACGGAAAGCCAACGAAGCCAAACATAATACCACTTGTTTATGAGGCACCGTCTCTAAATACATTATTTATAAATTTGTTATGAATGGTTTAACTGGTGGTTAATACATTATTTACTGGTGTTTAATAGAGCCGTTATAAGCCATTAATGAGCACAATATTAGGTTGCCAGGTTGTTTGCTTGACTTTTTAGCTCTTTAATTCAGAAGGGAGAACTCTCCAGTGGCCTGACCACTTACTTATATTCTGGAAAGGGGCTGCAGGATCTGCAATCCATTTATTAACTGATTATTAACATTTACAAGATTTGTTATGGTTTAACCTTGTAGAAAGACTTTTACAAGCTGTTGATATCTGTGCACTCAAAACTTAAAATAGCACAAATGTAGAGAGAATAGTACAGTTGTGGTTTTGATGTTTTGGTAATAACATGGCTATGAGTTTCTGTCCAGTAAGAATGCAGTAAAAATGTTGGTTAACCATCAACAAGTTCTTTGGGTTTCATACTTTCTAATTAATCATCAGGTATGCAGTTCTTAATGTTAGTGACAGTCATAAAGGGTTTTGTGTTTCTCAGTTTCTAATGAGTTATAGCAAAAGTTAGTAAGTTTTACATGTTAATCAAGTAAGTCTGTAGTTGTAAATGTTAATAATCAGTTTATAAATGGATTGTGGCCCACATTTCCTGCATCACGAAATATACAATATCTCTTCCAGATGGTAAGTGGTCAAACAGTCCATTGGAGGGATCTCCCTAATGAATTAAAGAGCCAAAAAGACAAACAACTTTTATGTGTTGGAGGTTGGATTTTCCACAACCTGGCAACCACAAAGTTGTTCTTTTTAATGACTTAAAATTGATCTATCGCAATTCTAAATCATTTATTAACCCCCCAGAAAGCTATCAATTGCAGCTTATAAACCTTTTATAAATGGTGCCTTATCTGAAACTAAGCATGCAAGAAAAGTATCCCATATCTAAAATTAATGTAACTAATTTCTCAAACATGTAATCTGTAACAGACTACATTTTTAAAAGTGCTTTACCATCTCTAATAGTGTTCATACAGTATGAATGCAAAGGCAAAAAATAACAGAAACAAATATTTATTTACAAGTATATATTACAATGATAAAGTCAATATTTCCCTTTAAAATGCATTCACTCCCTGTCCTTAACCAGACCTATGAGAATCAAATACTCTTTGCCTGTTAGGATTACATCATGAAGAACATCATAAGTGCTGACTCTATTAGATACAGCTGCAGTTGACCTGACCAGTCATCTCCTATCATCTTCTAATCTACTTGATACATACAAACCTGATTGTATTTCATACCTCGCTACTAACATTATCAAATGAATGTGTCACACTCATAACAGACTCTGTTTCATAACATCCAGCCAACACGTCACCCAACATGTCACACAGTCAGTCAGTATCCATTGAGGAAAATGACATGCCAGATGACATGGTAGACAGGGAGGAAAACAGGAAGAGTGAGGCAGGGAGAAACCCTGAGTTGCTGATACATCATTTTAAAATTCCTGTATACTATGTTACAGGTATCGTATGTATCATAATATACATCTCAGAGAGACAACAGAGTGGAACATTAATAAAAAGTAAGGCATTAAAGTAGAGTGCTCTTCATAGAAAAACAGATGGTCACTGCTACAGTATAACTACATTTCCTACTAGTTGATTCAAATTATTTGAAAGCTGTATTTTAAAGTTGCAAATACACTACACACAACTTTAACTCTTAGTTCTATATTCATAAAAGAGTGTTAATAAAGTGAGAGCATTATTAATACATAAATTAACACAATCTTTGTGTTAATTGACAGAACTCTTAGGATTACAAAAAACCTGAAGATCATGGCTATGCTTGACATTTTTCTCCCAAGCTGATGTCACATCTGGCAGACCTTTAGCTCATTCAGAGTCAAATGAGAGCTTTTATCGTGCGTCCTCTACCTCCTGCTTCAGTCTATTCAAAGTTATTCAAAGGCACATACGTCTGCTGTGAGCATGGTGAAGGACTGCTTGAGGCCATGTGTTTGCCAGAGGTGTGACAGACTGTTTGCTTTGTGTTTTTATGAAGGGTTGGTGAAGGACTGCAGGGTGGGGTTATCTGGACTGCTGTGCCCTTGCCGTATAACGTGTGTAAAGGAAGTTGTTCCTGCTTGTATGTGTGACTTGACATCTGGCTCGAGACTTCAGGTGTGTGGTGAATGTATGCTTGACTCAGAGCCAAGCTGAGGATCTCTGTCTTTTCCTTGCAGAAGCGTAGCTCTACGCCTCGACGCCGGGCCAACACCAGCTCCCTCTGCGCCACCTGCAGCTCCTCCCCGAGCCGCCCCGGTGAGCTATGCTCCCGTCCGAGCCAATCCAGAGCCATGCTGCTGCGCATATACTCATCAAGACCTCGCTGAGAGTAATAGGCAATTACACTCTGAAAAGGAGGAAAGAAAATATTCAATCATCATGCTGTAACCAGGGGTCAGATATGTCTTTGTCAAGACCTGTACCTGTCGAGAGCACTGCCTTTCCCTCAGAGCTTTCAGTGTTCCGTTCCAGTGCAACAACTGGAAAATTGTCATCATCTCCTACAGAGGGAAAGAGAGGGTACGTGGGTGGGAAGGAGACACATCGAGAGAGAAAGTCTTGTGCAACTTCATGAGTAATGACTTGAATAACAGACCCTGACATCCAGCTCTGTGTGCATATGTCTAACAAAGATAACACATTAAGTGGATAGTTCTTGAACTCACACCTAAACTGTGGATGATTGGTTTGAAAAGATATTGTAAATCTTTATGCACCAGGTAGGTTTCGCCCTGATTTATAAAACACAGCCTGGCTGAACAGCTGCCATGTGTTCAGAGCTAGTGACATGAGTGTTAAACAGACAGGGTCTATACATTAACTGAAATTGACCTAATGAGCCACAGATGGAAAATGTGACATGTAACTTGTCTGGGGTCGAAGTCCATGCTGTACCTGCTGGGCCTGTTTACTCTGTTTCCAACTGTTCATCTGCCCTATGCTTGACTACCAAACTACCAAATTTGCCACCTCCTGCACTGACTGCATGTACAAATGATACAAAGCACCGATGGCTGTATGCCTCATGGTTAATGCTGTGTGTGCAGGCTTTTGTATGTGTGAGATTAAATGACAGTGTCTGTGTATGTCCATGTGTGCACATATGGAGGTGTGAGTATTACTTGGAAGCTTTCCATCCTATGAGTGGTGCTTTAGCAGGAATGATAATGAACCAATTTCCCCCTTCTAATAACCCTCCGTCTGCAGACATATGCTTATTTACACAAAGGTAGAAATATTAGGTGTTTCATACCAAGACTCCCTGCCAGGGCCGGACTGAGAGTAAGATTGGGTGGGAATAAATAGGCGAAAATGGAGTAGGAGGTGTAATGATAACAATGTATTGTGGAATTACCACGCAGTGGTTGTGATTTTTGTTATGTTTGGCTTGATAATTCCTAATTATGTAAAATTATAACACTTTAATTTGGTATCCAAATAGGAATACTCTATTGAAGATCCCTTGAGCCTGAATTATTTGGATTAAATAGATCTTTCACATGATTACCACGATCCCCACATGATTTATGAACATAGCTATAAGGAAAGCAGAGTTTGCAAAATAGGTTTTGGTTGCATGTTTCACCTGGAACTCCAACATTGTCCTTCCCATGTAGGAGTGGAGGAGCAAACTGTAGGTTCCTATACTGGTGCTTGAATCACATGCATCTTCTATAGAGACCTTTACAGAGACAGACAACAGTGCACGTCAACATTCATGTCACTCTTTTCAGGTGTAATTGCCATGTGTTTTTCGTGCTGCCTCACACTCACAGCACTCTCTGTGGCCGCCTGCTGCAAACTCTGAGTGATGAACTGAGGGTTAATGCGTCGACATGGCAACTCGTTCACAAGAGAGTTCATCAGAGCCACGCGAGCCGCATCCCTCCGAGCTTCTGCCTGAGTGTCGCACACCTGAGGATGAGGAGGACACGAAGAACATAAAGGGTTAAAATGTCTAGAAGAGCATAAAAATGGAGGGAAAAGATGTGAAATGTAGTTGCTTCAAACAGAAATTTCAGGGTCTGCTGATATGTGTGGCAACTCTAACATTACGATGATTTTACACTTCACTACAGCTAATCATGGGATCAGAACTTAAATCACCAATGAGATTAGAACATTAGAGGCATTCACAGATAACCAATCACATGCCTGCCCTGAGCTGGGGGCTACTGTCTGGGGCACAATGAGCCCATTGAGAAGCATCATGGGATTTAAACTGAATCAATTTAAAACAACTTTAAAAGTGTGTGTGTGACTGTGTGTTTATTCCAACTGAATGTCCTCCAAGTGTTGCATGTAAGCACCTACATCTGAATGTGGACGTTGATACAACTTGGCACAAATTAAAATGCTTTTGGTCAAAACAATAACAATTTGTAAGAAAGCTAGATTCTGTGGTCTGTATACTTTATGCTGCTGCAGCAAAATCAAGAGGAAGGACTGCTTGAGGCCAGTTGCAGATTTGGAATATCATATTAAATACTTAATTTGAAGCAATAAACATTACATTGGTGATTTGCTTTTATTACATTTACAACTGGAACAGGAACATCACCTGCATCAGGTATCATAGAAATACTGACTTTTCCTCTCTGGTCATGTATGTGCGCTCACCGCATGTTGGTGATATTTTCCAACAGAATATTATAGATAACTAGTATCTGTTCTGAGTCATTAAGCCAGGGCAGGCATGCTACATTAACTACAAACTGCACTGACACAGCACTGACGATGACGAACACACCTTATAGTTACCAAAGCAGCTTCCTCCTGGAAGGGTGACATAGCAGATGTACGGCGGACCAGGGGAAGGTGCAGACTCGTACAGCAGCAGGCTCTCTGTCTGGACGACTGCGGCCCCACCAGAACCGTCTGATTCATTGAGTGAACCATTTAACTGACTCGCCTGCTTCTGCTCCCAGAAGTTATGGAGCATGGCCACCACATTCACTGCACACACAAAAGACTGACAGTGCTGAAAACATTCATGACAGAAAATAAAGTGTTGGAGTGTAAATTCATGCATTTATCTCACAGAGACTCTTGATTTCCTTCTGATACATAAAAAAAATCTGATTAGTCTTCTGTTCACTTTGGAAGTGAAGTTTTTTTAGTTGGGGAAAACGTGTAAAATCATGTGTAAATGTGTAAATGTTAACCTAAATACACAGGAAAGACATCTGTATATCTGCATTCCCAGACAGTGTTTATTTAAGTAGAATCAGGGACGACAGGGAAACATCCCTTAACTTAAACAAATCAGCGTTTTTTGACCCTTTGAGCTTTTTCTGGCTGTGAAAAAGGTTTTAATGTTTCCCGAGTCCTTCACTGTGGGCCAAACAGTTCACTGCAGTGCAGTTTATGGCAGCAGGAAAAACTTGACTGACACTTGTTGGAGGCAGTGTACTTCACAGGAAATGTAACAAAGTTATATATTTTAAGTTATAGAAAACAGTGAACGTCTTTCCTAATTGTGCATTATTTTAATGCATCATTGTCAGGTTAGTTGTAACAGTATGATTCTGATATTTATCTATTTCCTGCTGAAACTAACATTGACTACTATGTGTTGTTTTTCAGTTACTCACAGTCTTTGGGGCTGGTGTCAGTCTCACTCTGCGACAGGTATGACATGATGCTCTCTTCATCTTTCACTTTACTCATCCTCAATCAGTGTTGACTTCCACAGCCGGCTTAAACACAATCAGTCCACTTTTCTCTGCTCCCACACGCTTCACCAAAAGGATCCATCAGAACGACACTCGCAACCTTAGACACGAGTAACCACCATCATCATTGCAGCTCAGGATGGGAACACCATAAGAAATAAGCTCAAAATCTGAAAGCCCTTCCACTTTCCCTTTCTCCCCTCCTCCTTCTCTTCTCCTGTGTGAACATCTCACCAGGATTTCTCTTTTGAAGCAGACCACCTTTGTTACCCTCGCTGCCAATTAGCTCAGAGGGCCCCTCACTCTTTCTACACATGCACACACACACAGAGGTGCAGAGGAGGAATGCTGAGCCCCTCCCCTCGGTTCTTGCAGCTGGCTAATCCCTGAGCAGAGCTGGATTTGTTGAAGACCTGCACAAAGTTGCCAAGTTGAACCACAGACGGCACAATGTACCATCTTCAGGGACACAAAAATTATGAACCGTTGTCTGAGAAGTCCAGTTTATAACCAGCTGCATCTTTTATATCTTTTTTATCAGTATCCGGGATAAAAGGAAACAATTCTGCCCAACATGTAGTGTCTAAGATCTGTGGGGGTGGGATACTTTTGACTTCACACACTAATTTGAGCCCACTGAGCCCAGGGTCTGAGCTCTATTCACCCTCTTCAATATGAATGGCCATTGTTCAGGTCTGAATTCACCCGCTCTCTGAAAGCCTCTTACACATAAATGAACCAAATTCTGAAAAAAGAAGTGGTTTCTGAGCTCTCTACGCTCATCATTTACATCTCACTCTGTGTTGAAATATGTCAGCGAGAGAGAACGGATGTGTCTTTTTCCTGCATCTATTCTTGGTGAATGTATTGATGTGTTCTGGAGCATGTATGTTCCCACATGCTTGTGTCAGACTCTTCTTTTTTGATTGGCTGCTGGGAGGGTGGAAGTAGTGAACTATTCAAACTACCATAATAGTCAGAAGACCTTTGAACAATGGGAGTTTTGCATAAATTAAAAGTTCCCCCTGGATGCATTCAGTTTGCATCTTAAATCCACACCCACATTAATCACTGTCAGTAGTAGGCCGATAGCCAGACTGAGAACGAACTTGAAACTTTGACAATGGCAAGTTACTCTATATGTTTCTGTCTCTTGTAGCAATGTTGAAGTCAATATGTCATCATTTTATATCAATTTAAAAGAATGTTCCCGACTTGACTAAGAAACACATTTAACTGTTGAACATGAAAAAAAACACACCTCAGCAGTGACATATAAATGCTTTAATTGTCAATCAAACCGCTTCATTGTATTTACATTAGACTTTAGACTAGTGTGTAAAGCGTGATCGTCCATAGCAGTTCAAATAGAAAAATGTCTCACCCTCATTCTTGACAGTGAGGAGATTTTCTGAGTGGGAGCGCCAACTAGAGAAATACAAACGATCGCACTGTTTTCACTTCAGTGTGACCAAAGTTTTATCATCCCTGTCTCTGATTTTTCCATAACAGTACAGAACAGCTGAACTGTTGAACGAGTCTTGTCGGATTTTTTCCCATTCCAACCTTCATGTGTTTACAACTCTTCGGACGATGTGCGAGAGGAACCACGTGGCATGTTAACCAAACAAAAAGCATGTTGACATGAATTCCGTCTGTCCACCAGTGCAGTCCCACTTATCCCCAGAAGGAGGCGCTCTCCATACTAGACTTGATGTTATTTTGGTTCTCCCTCCTGGATTTGGTCACCAAGTTGGCCTCTCCCTTCTGCAGACGTCTCCTCTGTGCTGCCTTCTGCTGTTTGGTGAGCTGCCTCCGCACCTTCTGACGGACCACCTCCTGCAGCACGCACAAGAACGACGACAGCAGGTTACAGATGCATGTACAGACTGTCTGTCTGTGCAAGGCAGATAACATTATGCAGACATGTTGCCTCCGCTTCTTTCACAAACTCCTACACCATGTGAACGCTCTTTAGCAGCACCTACAGGACATCCCAGTTTTTGCCCAAAACTGTGAACTAGGATTGCTACAGCGTGTGGTGGAATTTCCAAAAAGTCATATGTTAGCACTGAAGTGTAAACGGTTGTTTGTGTGTGTGTGTGTGTGTGTGTTTAACTTACTGGTGGTATGGTAGAGCAGCTCCCTATGCTGCCCATTGTGGCCTCACTGTCCGTCCTCCTCCTCCTGTGTTCTGCCAGGTGCAGAAGACTGTCTGAGTCTCTGCAGGAGAAAACACATCGAAATAACCTCTTGCTATTATGGCACGTTTTTACAACAAAGCATAGAAGTTCACGGATTTAACATAGATGCATAATTTGACACAAATTATGCTACAGTGAGGTCAAAAGTCTGAGAGCATTTTCCCACTCACTTGAAACTAGTTTGGACCCCATGTATGTTTTTGTAAAATTTCTGTGTCTCTGAAATTCATTAACAATTTTTCAAGCTGTCATGCTCCAAATAAAAAAGCTAAAATTATTTGTTGACTTGTATCAAAGCTGCAAGTGGAGTACTCAAACTTGAAATCATCATCTTATGAAAGGTGCTTTTTTTTGTATTTGGGTTGTGTTAACTTTCAATTACCTGAAGGGTTTGAACTCTTTGTTGGAGGCAGAAAGTTCTGCCAGCTCTGGGCACTCATCCACTGCCTCCTTCAACTCTTCTTCTAAGACTTTCTCTGATTCTTCATCACTTCTAGCCGCAGTTGATGTCTCAGTCTCTTTCTGTTCTTCCCTTTTCTCACTCTTTTCCTCCTCCTCATCTTGTCCGTCTGCATGTGTGTCGCTGACTTTCAGGCCCTCCAGTTCCAGCATTGCATGTTTATAATCTTCCATGTCCACATTCTCCTCTTCTTTTTCCACTTCCTCGTCGGTTGCCTCTTCGTCACTGTCCTCTTCTTCATCACCTTCCTCTCCCTCAGGTCCAGCTGGATGTAGCAACTCACCATCTTTCTCCAGATCTTTGGTGAAACCGCTGGCTGAGACTTCAACATCTAGGGAATACGATCGCCTGCAGGAATAAACAGTGACAACAAAAGATCATTAAAGAGTTGTTTTCACTTCAGAGTCAGCATTTTAAATGAACTGCAAAGAAGGAAAACTATTTCAATTTAAAATGTGATTTATACAATATACTACATAATTGACCATTAAATCCCAGCACTGCAACTGCCTCAAAAATACAAAAAACAAAACACACACGCGTTGTAAGAAATGAAAAATTGAATTGAATTTTATAAAACAAAGCAGCCAACAGGACAGCAAATTCAATGTTCACACTAAAAAATGTATACTGTATATGTCCAACACAATACACATTGTGTGTGCGCGTGTGTGTGTTAGTGTTTTCTTGCGGTTGAAAAATAAGTTACCTGATGTCTTTGAAGGTTGGAAAGAGCTCACTCTCATAATTGTACCTTTTTGCAAAGAAATCTCTGATACATTTGACGTCTCGGTCAAAATACCTAGAAACAAATGTTGGACAAGTGAACAACATGTACACCCTCTGTTAGTTTGATCAACTTTAACAATTGATTTTCAGCTTCACGGCAGAGACACCAACCATTCAGCATTAGGATGTGATGTGGACACCATTTGAGGGAAGTCGATCATTGTTATGTGGTCCTGGTCATCCAGCATAAGGTTGAACTCGTTAAAGTCTCCATGAATCAGGCCGTGATTGGCCAGTTTGACTATGAGCTCCATGAACTCGTTGTACAGGGCTGGTGGATCCTGTAGCTCATGCACCTGACACCTGGCAGAGAGAGGCAGAGAGAGGCAGAGAGAGAGAGAGAGAGAGAGAGAGAGAGAGAGAGAGAGAGAGAGAGAGAGACGATACAAACAAATTATATAAGGAACAGAGAGCACAAAGAGTGTACTGTGCAATATTTTGAAGCAAGAAGGAAGAATGGCTTGTTTACATACAGTGGATATCCATTGATGAGCTCCATCACTACAGCATGTCTGTTGTAGTCCACAGGTTTGGGAACAGGAAAGCCTCGATCATACAATGCCTGAAAAATTAGGAGATGACTCAAAAGATGCACCACACAAAACTGAATCCTATGAATCGGTTGATGACAATTTCTTTCTGTTCCACATAAGTTACATACTTTCTCTGATTTGTTACATTACCTTCATGTAGGCAAACTCCTTCATGGCAGAGAGTCGAGAGAGGTAGAGCCAGGACATGTTCTTCCTGTGTTTGTGGTAATCTCTCTTGTTCTTCAGGTTCCTGAAGGAGGTGCGACCCAATCTGTGAAGTTTCAGCGCGTACTGCTCCCCGTTTGGACTTGCCACAATGTATATGTCTACAGGACGTAAACACAAAGAAAGATTTTGTATGAACATGGGCACATGAGAGATTGATCTTGGCAATGAATTTACATGAGCATCTTGGGAATCATTGAAACAAATTTCTTGTTCTGTTTCATTTCTTTATGTTCACTTAAATATATTTGCCTTTACACTTTATTACTTTAGGATTACAGGTAATCAAGTAAATAGGTAAAAGGGTAAAAATTGTCTTTTTATTTGAGGGACTAGACCTACTTTTTATAATTTACAATAGGATTTGTATCATGTCATTAATGTCAACCAGATCACTACAGACAAACAAAATGTGATCATGTGGATGTATAGAAAATATTCAAGTACTTTTTGAGTTTTTTTGTTCTTACCTGACTCTTTACCCACTCCCATCTGGTTGCCAACTGAAAGTACCACTTCTCTGGAGCAAAAGGTCTTCAGGGCAAGGTAGTCATATCCTCCGTAGTTCAACCTGTAGCCCTGCACAGCTGCAATCAACATATGCACACCACATTGAGAAAATAAACCACATGCACCGTCTCTATCTGAACTTATGAGACAAAGCTAGCATCACTGCATTTTCTTACTCTTGGCGCGTTCATAGACCACAAGTTTGTGCTTGACAAGCTCTCTGAGAATCTTATTGCAGCCGCCATGTTTGAGGCTGGCGATGGATGACAGGAGA